ATTTTGTTGTATCTATTAACCAAAGAGGCCCCATTCCCCCTTCCAGAGATGAGCTTCCCAGAGCAAGGGGACAGCACTTCATGGCCATCACCAGCTGTGACCGCCAGCTCAGAAAGAATCTGTGGGAAACGGAGGGCCAAGGCCTCAAGATGGACGAGGCAGGAGGCCATGGAGGAAGGGGAGCCGCCGGGTCTAGGGGAAGGTGAGGCCAAGGCCAGTTCTGGGGAGGTGAAGGACGGGGCAGTGGGAAGACCCAGAGCCTGGGGCTGGGCTCTGCCTTGGCTCCTTCCAAATCACAGAATTGGACTCAACCTTCCTCTTGCGGCCTCAGTTTCCCCACATGGCAGAGAACAGCTGCACTGCAGAGCCAGAGTCCAAGCTTGGCCAACTCAGAAAGACAGGACAGAGCCACTGTCTACAGTGACTCTCTGAGGCTTGGCTTTCCCCTGCAAAATGGGGCCACAGCATCCCAGCTTTCCGAGGCTGCTGTGTGATCAACTGAGACAGCGGATGAAAAAGTGCTTTGGAAGATGGGATTACTGTCCTTTCCCCTCCTCCTCCGAACAGGTTCCCGGGCCAGGCCAGCTGCTGAGTCCACTGGGCTGGAGGCCACATTCCCCAAGGCCACACCCTTGGCCCAAGCTCCTGCCTTGGTCAGAGTGGGCACCCCACCAACAGGGGACTTCCTCCCCTCTGACTGTGCAGCCTCAGCAGCGGGTTCCAGCACAGATGATGCAGAGCTGGCCACAGAGTTCCCGACCACAGAGGCCTGGGGGTATGAGCTGGAAGGCGTGGTAGAAGAGAGGCCTGCCCCATGCCCGTCCCCACAGATCCCGTTACCAAAGCTGGGCTGGGACGACGAGCTGCAGAAGCCCGGGGCCCAGGTCTACATGCGCTTCATGCAGGAGCACACCTGCTACGACGCCATGGCAACCAGCTCCAAGCTGGTCATCTTCGACACCACGCTGGAGGTGAGGCCACAGCGCTGCCCCACCCGAGCTCAGTGTCCACCCACATAGTGCTGCAGCCACCACTCGCACCCTCCGAGATGCCCTGCCAGGCCATCTGGCAAATCCCCTTCAAGGACTCCTTCTTAGCACATGGAGACCAGTGGTGGGAGGGAGGGCTTCTGCTCTGTGTGAACACCCCTCTGTCATCAAAGCTCTGCCACGTAGTGTCTGTAGGACCTCAGGTCAGTCACCTTACCTCTCTCATCTCGAAGACTGGGATCACCTTCCACGGTTCGGGGGATTCTTGGGACAATTCAGCAGAAAGTGGGGATGCTTTACAGAGTAGGAAGCATGTGTAAGACATTGCAGGGTCGCTTAGGACAAGCAGTAGGGGGCTCTTTTGGTAACAGAAAAATAGGATGAGCTCTGGTACCTGCTCTTCCATTAGGCTAAGCTACAAAATGCCTGTGGTTCTATTCTTATCACCATTAGGTAGAGCGGTGTTTCCCAAAGCGTGGGATGCGTATCTTCCACAGTATGCATTTTGATTCTAGTGGTTAGTGAACAAATGTGTTTATTTCAGTAGCTTTGTATTTATTTAATGTGTGTTAGAAAAATATAATCAGCATGTATTGCTAGTACTGCTAAGGATGAGGCATGTATAGATAGATAGTTAAGGACAAGGCTCAACATGAGTCAACAGAAATTTTATTTAGAGAAAAAATTATATAAATATACAAATGGTATATAAATAATTATACCTCTAGTACTTAGATTAGCAAAAACTCTATTGTGTCTGTGCACACATGACTTCCAGGTGGAAACACAAAGTTAGAGTTTCTCACCTGGTGTGCTTGGTGAGGGCGTCCTCAGTGCCTCTGGCCACAAGCAGCCTTATCTATGTGGCAAATGTGCCCAACGACGATCAAGTCTACTGTGTGCCATGACACGAGGAAGGCAAGTTCGTGAGGAGGAGGACAGGGAGCAGGTCCCACAGAAGGACCCTGGCTGGGACAGCAGAGGGGATGGCAGGCAGGGGGGTGGGTGCCCACTGGGGGGCAGTGGGAGAACAGGGTACAGAACTCTTGGGACTCACCTTTGACTGTTCTCCCCTGCCCCTCAGATCAAGAAGGCCTTCTTTGCCTTGGTGGCCAATGGCGTGCGGGCAGCACCTCTGTGGGACAGCAAGAAGCAGACCTTTGTGGGTGAGGAGAGGCCGGGGAGGTGGCGGTGGGTGGAGAATGGGAAGTGGGGACCTTGTACGGTGGTTCTGGTGCTGAACTCTGACATGCCACAAGCTGGAGGGACCCTCAGGCTGAGCAGAGCCAGGGCCAGTGTGGGGTAAGTCCACTCCTGGGTCTTGGGGCAGCTGGCTAGGGGACCTGGGGCTCAGTCTCCCCACCTGTGGAATGGCTGTGGCTGGCTGACCCCTCCTAGTTCTGCGGCCTTACAGTGCCACGTTGTAGGTGCTGGGTAGCAAATGAGGAAGGAAGAGGAAGAAACAAAGGGTATAGGAAGGGGAGGGGGTAAGAAGAGAGAAATTGAGGGGAACATAAGAGGCAGAGTCCATTTCTCAGGCCTGGAAGAGGCTGCCCTGGCATCCTTTTCCCACGGTCCTGCTGTCTCAGGGCACACACACTGGCAGGGCGGAGAGAGAGTCTGAGCCCTTGACCTCCCTCCCCCAAGGGCCCCAGGCTGACCTTCCTCCCTCCCTGCAGGGATGCTGACCATCACGGACTTCATCCTGGTGCTGCACCGCTACTACAGGTCCCCGCTGGTGAGGAGTGGGCTGGGAGTGGGCGAGCTGGTGTGGGCACCCAGACGGGCCAGGGCAGAGGGGAGTCTTCATGGATCCTGGTGCCCGAGGGGCCCATGTGTGACTCCTGGAGTCCTGTCGATGTTCCTAGGTCCAGATCCATGAGATTGAAGAGCATAAGATCGAGACCTGGCGGGGTAAGCGGGGAGCGGGTACGGGAAGGGGGCTGTGTGGTTGAGGGTGAGCCAAGGGCCTGAGGCAGAGGACGACGGGCAGTGGTGGCTTCCTGGAGGGAGCAGGGGAGGGGCGATAGGGAGCCTCAGGGTGCCCAAGGGGAGGGAAGTAGTCTGGGATGCCGGGTGAGGCAGGATGGCCAGCTCCCTTGGCCTGACCAACTCTGGCTTTTCTGCAGAGATCTACCTGCAAGGCTGCTTCAAGCCTCTGGTCTCCATCTCTCCCAATGACACGTAAGCGTCCCCACCCGCCCACTGGAACCTCTTCCTCCCACTGTCCCCTTCCCTAGTCCCACTCAGCGCCAAACTCACCCCTTCATCCCATGCAGCACACAGACAAGGCAGCCTTGGGGCCCTGTCCTCCTTTTTAGGGGACCGGGATGGAGGGTCTCTCTCCCCAGGCTGCCCCCAGGCTCATTGCTCCCTCCTCCACAGCCTGTTTGAAGCTGTCTACACCCTCATCAAGAACCGGATCCATCGCCTGCCCGTCCTGGACCCAGTCTCTGGCGACGTACTCCACATTCTCACACACAAGCGGCTGCTCAAGTTCCTGCACATCTTTGTGAGCCTGGGCCCCCGTGGGAGGAAGGGGGAGGTGACCAGAGGGGCTGGGAAGTCTTCAACCCTAGGAGTGGGGAGGGAGGAGCTGGGAGTCCTCTGGGGGCTGCTGGACCCCTGATCACCACCCATCCCCACCCCAACCAGGGTGCCCTGCTGCCCCGGCCCTCCTTCCTCTACCGCACCATCCAAGATCTGGGCATCGGCTCATTCCGAGACTTGGCGGTGGTGCTGGAGACAGCGCCCATTCTCACCGCGCTGGACATCTTTGTGGACCGGCGCGTGTCTGCGCTGCCTGTGGTCAACGAATGTGGTATCCGCACCCAGGACGAGAGACTCTGGCTGGGCTGGGACAGGGGAGGGCTTTGCAGGGAGGACATGGGGAGGGCAAGGGTCTGTGGGGCATCTGCTGGGGGCCCAGGGAGGAGTGGGGGTTAGAGGCCTCTGCCTGCTCTGAGACTTGGGCCAGTTACTTAGCCTCTCTGTGCCTCAGTTTCCTCACTTGTGAAATGAGAATCTTAACACCCATCCTTCTGACTTCACAGGAGGATTTAAAAGATTATGCACAATAAAATGGATGTAGTGAGAGGAAGCAGCAAAAGACTAGGTTTTTAGTTTTAATTCATCCTCAAATGGTCCAAGGGACCTTGGGTCCCCAGCCAGACTTCAGTTTCCTGCTCTAAGAAAGGGTTAGAGGGACTATGTGATTATTTCTTGGACAATGGCTGTAAAATATTTCAAAGCTAAAATCGCCACAATGAAGCTACATATCAAGAAGTGCTTTTAATTTATTTTTTGATTATGAAAAACTTCAAATGTGTGAAAATGGTAAAAAAAAAATTGTATAATGAATGAACCCCATACATCCATTGCTTGGATTAACTGTTGTTATCATATTGCCATAATCAGTTCATCTTTTTTTCTGAAGTAATCCAAAATAAATTACAGATACCATATCATTTTACCCCAAACACTTCAGTCTGCATCTCTTAAAATCAGTTTTTTCTATGCCAACTAACAAAGCTATGAATAATATATATTGTCTAATATCCAATCCTTATTCTCATTTCGCCATTTCCTGAAGAATATATATATT